ACACTCCAAATGATGGATTTGAATTTATGAATATCCTTTCGGTTCTGTAGTCCAATATGAGGACTAATGTTCAATGCTTTCTCTTGTCAATACCTATCTGGATTGCCTCAAACAATTTGGTATGGCCAAAGGAAACCTGTTCTTTTTTCTGTGATACATGTTGTGTTATTTTTTTGTGCAGTGTCTTCTGATTTTTTTTTTCTGTGCTGACTGAGTTTTAAATAATGACAAACATGCATTACCAATGAACTTTTTGATGGAGATCTTTGCTGTAGGATTTGTTGATTGGTTGTTAAGTTTGTCCTTGCCAACTTTTGGGACGCTGGCAGCTGGAAGTGTGAGCTGTGGCAATTTTGCTCCATTTTGATGCAATTGTGATTCATTCTGTGACATTTGTTTGGATATAGTTAACACCCCTGTTTTCTACTCATCATATTGTGCGGTATTACCAGCGTGCATAACTTGTACTCCCGTATTTATCCTACTCTACGATCAGTCCTATATGCGGCTCTATCTGCATCCTATCTATGCTAATTTTAATGCCGTCTTTCATGTAATCTCTGCCATTTCTGTTTCTTTTTGGCAATTCTACTATGCTAGTTTTGATGGTCTCATCCAATTAATTTTTTATCTCACTTTTATCTGCTGCAACAGAACAAGTTTATGGTCTATGATGGAAGGTTAATAAATAGACTATGCGCGGCGTTTATTTGTTTGACTTTGATTTAGTAAATTTAATATTTCAGTTTTAAATATTATGTGTCAAAGTGGATGTGTGATTCTTTAGAGTGCAGCACAAGTATAATTGCCTACGCTTGGGTGATGATGTGATTTACGAATTCTAAATTTCTTTGCATTATCTATGTTAACTGCTTTATTTTTATTGTATTAGAAAACTATATTGTTCTTCATTAAATTGGTATCAATGCTAATAGTTGCATTATCATGTTAACTTGATGTAGGAAATATTAATTGAAAAATTACTGTTTGATTCAATTTAAACATGATTAAGTTGTTGTTTTAAACAATCACACCGTAACTATAGTTAGGTTCAAACTTATATTTCTACATTGATTGTGGTGCTTGATTTTATAATTTTTTTTTGGAGTGGATTAATAAATTGCAAGATTCTTTTGAATATTATTTGGTTCTTACGGTTAAAATTGCTAAGTAAAAATAGCGGGATATGTGAATTGGGTATTTTTATTATTAATTATTTTTTTTTCAAATTGTATGTTTTTTTTTATTTGTAATTTTCTGACTGGTCTGTTCTTTTTTAAATAATTGTAGTTAGATGGGCTGCAGGTTTTCAGGAAAGTCCGAGCGAGTATAATATCGCTGCGGACTTTCGTCCTTATTACTCACGTTACGTCAGCAATATAGCTACGAACGACAGTTCTAGGGGTGCCCTTGGTGGGCACACGGACCGGAGGACTGCAAGTTCTTCAGGTGGATAGAAAGTACATCTGATTTTACGTTATCCCAATCAGACAACGTTGCTCGAGATTCGACGACATCACAACTTGAGAACGTCGCTTGTGGTTCAAATGTTTTCCAACCGGACAAGGTTGCTCGGGGTTCTACTGTGTTACGTCCTCACAACGTTCCTAGTGACATGCCTCTACATTTTAAAATAAATATTGTTATTTGTTTTACTTGTAATTTTAATATGTTATTTTTTCTTCTTTTTTAAGTTTCATGATACTTACTATTAGGTGAGGTGCATATCTTTTTTGTAATGTTATGAATGAGTTTTATTGGTTCTAAAATATCTAATGTGTAGACATTGCAGTTTTGTTGAGAACATTACAATGTCTGCATGCCTGATTGTTCATTTACTTAAAAAACATTCAAATCAGTAGTTCTCAAAATACACAAACTAAATAGTTAAACAGTTTATCCAAAATAGAACAGCGGCAAAATTGTCATTTTTCCAGAATCAGTTGTTTTCCAAACGCACAAACCAAATAGTCAGACAACTTATCTGGATTATATTCTGATAAGCAGCTTATCAGAATAAATAATTTATTTATATAAACTTGATAAGCTGCAGCTAACCCAAACATACCTTTAATCTGAATGTGGATTCAGTAGTTGCAGATTGGGGGTATTCAGGTAGTATTATGGTGGCATTGCAAAATAATATCACTACATTACCACCAATCTGTACCTAATCCACACCAATCTGGTCCGCGCGCAATATTTTTTTCCAATATGAAGACTACATTTCTAGACATGCAATTGTAAGAGGAGACCGAACTATTACAACCACCTAGATATGGAGCATCAGAAGACTTGGTTTACAAATTGAACAAGTCTTTGTATAGGTTGAAGCAGTCACCATAGCAATGGTGTAAAAAAATTGATCAATTCATGAGGGGACAAGAGTACACGAGGAGCTAGTATAGTTATTGTGCATATTTCAAGAAGTTGGCCAATGGTGAGTTCATTTCCCTGCTTTTATATGTTGATGATTTGTGAATTGCATATGTCAATCAAATTGAGGTTGATAGGATGAATAACCAATTTTTTAAATATTTAAAAATGAAGAAGTTGGGTAAATCTCACAAAATTCTTGGCATCGAGATTCTCAAGGATAAGGCAACTCGAAAAGTTTGGCATACATAAGGAACATATGTTTGTATGGTGCTAAAGAAATTTGGGGTGATTACTTGAGCAAGAAGACAAGTTTACCCATTGCATCTCACCTTCAGCTGAGTTCAAATAAGTGTCGTAAAGATGATCAAGAAAATAAAGATATGTGATCAGTTTCTTATGCTGGTGCAGTGAACAATCTAATGTATGTCATGACTTGTACTTGATCACATATTATACATGTAGTTGGTATTGTGAGTAGGTTCATGCATGATCCAAGAAGGAAAAATTAGCAAGCTGAGAAGAGTACTTTAAGGGTATAACTAATGTTGGGGTGGTGTTTGAGATGTAGTCATCTTTTACAAATTTGTGTGTAGGCTATACTAACACAGACTATGCATGTGATATGGATAATCGATTACCAACAAACTGTTATTTATTCACATTGACAGGAGTTTCAGTCACTTGGAGGTCGGTTCTTCAATCTACTATTTTTTTGTCTACTACGAAGGCTAAGTACATGATGTTCACATAGGCGATGAATGAAGCAATATGGATAAAGGGCGTATTGGATGACTTGAGAGTTGATCGGGAGTCTCTGACGGTATTATGTGACAGTCAGAGTATAATATTCTTGGCACAGATCCAATTTATCATGCTCATACCAATCACATTAATGTGAAGTACCACTTTGTTCGAGACTTGATTGATGACGGTGATGTTCTGTTGAAGAAGATAGATACGAAGAAGAATTTAGAAGATATGCTCACGAAGGTACTACTATTTCATAAGTTCACCTACTACAGAAGTTTGGTGAACATCTGAGCTCATGAATAATTGTCCAATCGGGTACTTTAAAGAGCTACGTTAGACTTAATCCCTTCGTCTGTGGGGGG